TACCAAACAAATGAAATACCTAGGAGTAAACTTAACCAATGTAGTGAAAGACCTCTACAATGAAAACTATAAGACATTGGTGAAAAAAATTAAAAGACACAAATAAATGAAAAGATATCCCATATTCATAGGTTGAAAGATTTAACATCATCAAAATGTCCATATTACCCAAAGCAACCTACCCATTCAATGTAATCCCTATCAAAATACCAATAAAATTCTTCACAAAATTATCTTAAATTGTGTATGGAACCACTAATGATCCCATATAGCAAGAGCAATCTTGAACAAAAAGAACAAAGTTGAAAGCATCGCACTTCCTGACTTCAAAATATACTACAAAGATATAGTAATTACAACAGCATGGTAGTGGCATAAAATAGACAAATGGACCAATGGAACAGAATAGAGAGGCCAGAAACAAACCTACACACTTACAGCCAACTTATTTTCAACAAAGGTGCCAAGAATACACAGAGGGGAAAGGACATCCTCTTCAATAAATAGTGCTGGGAAAACTGGATATCCACATGCAGAATATTGAAAATAGACTTACATCTCTCACTATACACAAAAATCAACCTAAAATGGATTAAAGACCTAAATTTAACACCCAAATTATGAAACTGCTAGAAAAAAACATAGGGGAAATGCTACACAAAATGGGAGTGGGCAGTGCTTTGTTGAACAAGACTACAAAGGCACAGGTAAGTAAAGCAAAAATACACAAATGATGTTATAACACCAAGGCCAAAGGTTCAATCCCCGTACCAGCCAGCCACAAAAAAAAAAAAAGAAGAAGAAGAAGAAGAAAATACACAAGTGGTACTACATCAAACTAAAAAGCTTCTGCACAATGAGGGACACTATCAACAAAGTGAAGAGACAACCTACAGAAGTGGAGAAAGTGTTTGCAAACTACACATCAGACAAGAGGATAATATCTAGAATATGTAAGGAACCTAACAGCAAAAACACAAACAACCCAATTAAAAAATGGGCAAAGGACCTGAACTAACACTTCTCAAAAGAAGACATACAAATGACCAACAGACATGAAAAAATGCTCAACATCACTAATCATCAGGGAAATGCAAATTAAAATGAGATAACATCTCACACCAGTTAGAATTGCTGTTATCAACAAGACAGAAAATAGCAAATACTGTCAAAGATGCAGAGAATAGAGAACACTCCTACATTGTTGATGAGAGTGCAAATTGGTACAGCCATTGTGAAAAACAGTATGGAGTTACCTCAGAGAACTAAAACTAGATCTACCTTATAGCTCAGCTATATTCCACTACTGGGTATATACTCAGGGGAAATAAAATCAATATATCAAAAAGGCATCTGCACTCCCATGTTCACTGCAACACAATATTCACAACAGCCAAGCAATGGAATCAATTTAAATGCCCATCAACAGATGAATGTATAAAAAAAAATGTGGTATGTATACATGATGGAATACTATTTAGCTATAAAAGAAATATCCTATCATTTGCAGCAATATGAACGGAACTGGAAATCATCCATCATGTTAAGTAAGTCAAGCACAGAAAGACAAATTACTACATGATCGTACTCATATGTGCAATCTTAAAAAAAAAAAAAGGGACTCTCATAGAAGTAGAAAGTAGAGTAATAGTTACCAGAGACTGGGAAGAGAGGGAGATGGCAGGGAGGAGAAGTGTTGGACTAAAGGGTACAAAACTATGCTATCTACTCTAAGTGAATCGTGCAGTATATGAATGTATTGAAACAACACACTGTACCCCACAAAAATAAATATAAATAAAATTGAAAAAATAAATAGAAAAGGACAAAGAACAGGTTGAGTGATCAGTTTAAGTAAAATAAATAAATAAATAAATAAATGGAGCAGCTCTATACATTCCACAAGCAAACACACACACTTAAAGAAAGTGGGCAGCACAGAGGTGTCTGCCTCCAGGAAGCAGGAGTGAGTATAGGAACATAAGGTAGAGAGCTATATAGGGGAGGCTGGCAGTACCAGAGAGGATCTCGAAGCTTTAACACCCAAATGGAAATCTATGCAACCCACATTTTTACTAAATGCTGTGGCAGTAATTTCTTTCTCTCTCCATTCCTGGCTACTCATGCTACAATAGATGATTTAATGGGAAATCTCAATATAATGAAAAATAGCCAAACATTTAAGAAAGCTAACACAATGAAAGGGAAACAATAAATTCTGAAAACCCAAGAACTCGCAAAATGAATAAAGGTATAATAAATCATTAAACACTTTAACAGAAATAAATGTGATATCCTAAGTGTAATAAAAATCCAGCATTATAAATAGCAGAAATTAGACACATACAAAATGAGAAACACAAAATTTTAAAAGATTGGCTGACTTAGCAGAATGAATACCACTGAAGAGTAAATTAGGAAGCAGGAAGATCAGGCCACGTAATTCTCCCAGGATGTAGCACAAAGGGAAAAGCATATACAAGGGAACAAAGGAAAATTCAACGAGTAGATTTAAATGTTCCAATATCAATCCAATAGGACTTCTAAAAGAAGATAATAGAAGACAAAAGCACTATAAGGGGGAGAAAAAGTATTTTTCAAAATTATAAAAGGAGCAATCTAAAATAAGACATATTAATCATGAACTTTCACGTACCTAACAACATAATTTTGAAATATATAAAGTAGCAACAAATAGAATTACAAAGAAAAATTTACAAATCCACAATTATAATGGGAAAGTTTTCTATACTTCTCTTAGATCTTCAATTTTATATACTTAAAAAATCATTAAAGCAAAAAAAGTCAAATGTAAGGACATACAGAAAATTTGAAAAATAATACATATGTTCAAAATATATACTTTATGCATTGTATATTTAATATAAATACTTTATATATTTACATATATACCCTATATATACTTGATATGTGTGTATATACACACACTACTCAGAGAATGTACAATTTTTTTTTAAAACACACATAAAGCATTACCCAAAATTGAACTTGATATAGGCTACAAAAAAGTTGCTACCCAATAACCTTGAACACTGTCCACAATGCAATAAAATTAGAAATATACACACTTCTATTAAGAGTTTAGTTACATCAGAAATCATACCAGAAACCATAAATTATTATAACTGAATGACAATGAGAGCACAATATATTAAAATCTGTGGAAATGGGTAAAGCAGTTCTCAGAGAGACATAGTTAGTCCTCAACATTTACTAGGAAACAAGAAAGATTGAAAAATAAATACACACTTCCAGACCTTCTACTCTCCTCTCCCAAAAATAGGAGTAAATTGATAAGGATAAAAGCAGCAATTAATGAAATGGTACACAAAAGGTAGACAAGATCAAAAACACCAAAAAAATGTTTTAAGACAAATAATATAAATAAAATGTTGGCAAGTATAAGAGAAAAAAGAAGACCATGCAAACAACTCACAAACAACAAAAGGGATGAAAAGATGGGCAATAGCAACAAATACAGACTGGAATGACTGCCGCATAACTCAAGGCTTAATGATGTGCACCCTTGGAAGATATGGAAGTTCTTAGAGGCGATACCTTTTGTTGGGGTTCAAGTTTCCTGAA